ATATTGATTATATGTTTAAAGATTAAGCTAACCTTGCCTTCCTGTGATAAGAATTGGCCACAACGTATGATCCATTTCACATACTACCGAGCTTTTCTCACTAGTATTTAGTTAAGGATTTTTTTTTACATTTAAATTCTTGAGGGATATAGTCCTCATGAATACTTTTCTTGTAAACTCTATTTGATCTTGATATTTGGAACTGATAAAAATAAGGGGGCAGTTTTCTCCGTTCTATTTTCTGAAGATGTGCATATAAAATTGGTGTTCTTTGTGGCATGTTCTTGATGGGATTCAGGTGGGAAATCATCTGAGCTAGGAACGTCTTTGGTTGAGTGAGGCTCTTTGGGTCTTCTGCTCCTCCTCAGCCCATGTGGGAGTGCGAGTCCTCTGAGCTTGAGCGGCTAACTAAGCCTGTTGCCTGGAGCTTCGTGCGTGTCCTCTCCTGGCCTCTGTTGAGGCCTCTGCACTGGCACTCACTGTTGCCTCCGTGTCACTGGCCTGCTCCTTCTTCTTTCTTGAACAGCCTAACAGGATCGTTACCCTAATAATATTTTCAATAAGTAGGTTTTAGCCTTGTCTTTGTCCATTTTTAGCCCCTGCCTTGCCCAGTCCCGCTCCTTCCTGGTTTGCTCCTCCTGTCCAGTGCCTGCCCACAGGCATGCAGTCCTTTGTCCTCAGTGCCTCCAGCATCCCAACACTTACCTGTGACACAGCAGGCTGGCCGTTTTGGAGAGGTGTCTTGGTTTGTTTCTTTTACTAGACCTGAGCGCCTTGAGGGCAGCAGGCGGTGGGGCGGCTGAGCACCGGCTCCCTGCGACGCAGGGGCACGGCTGTGGTTCAGGTAGTGCTGTGTTTAAGCCCTAGACGTGCCACCTCTGGGAGGGTGGGCTGGGCTGCTCACCTGGTGGCACAGAGCCCCTGCTAGGGCTTGTCAGGATATTGCAGTCAGAGCGGGCAAGTCACCTCACGCAGCCTGGTACTGGGAGGTGCTGGATGACCTTTCACTTCAGCACGAAAAACCAGTGGAGGATGCCCCGGAAGTGCAGTGCCATTTCCTTCTGTGTTCTCGCTGATTTCTGTGGCAGTCCTCTCTGGAGGTGAGGGCTGAGGTTCTCAGGGGGGTTCACAGCAGAGCAGGGCTTTGCTTCCTGCTGCTCTGAAGAGCCTGGACACCCTGTCTTGCCACTGCAGCCCACTCTGCCATCTTACTGACGTCCTCCACCTTTACCCGGCCGAGGAGACCTCTGCTCCTTTCCTCTGAACCGCGAGGAAGGCAGTGACAATGCCTCTAAGACTTGTCTTTCTGTGGCTTTCATGAAGCTGACGCCCTGGAGCTGCTCTTCCGTGTTTCTCTCTGGGAGGGGGCAGCAAGTCCCTGGCAGCAGGAACACAGACTGTCCCTTCTTCCCTAGGTGGTACTTGGCAACTGCTTGTCTCTGTCTTACCCCCCCCCCAGGTGACTTCTCCCACAGTGCTCTCTGAGATGACCTAAGTCACCCCCTAAAGCAAAAAAGCCAGCGTGGCCCATCTCCTGGCAGATTCCCGTTCCATAGCCATTCATCCCCTTGGCCGCTGGCCTGCACTGGGGCTGGTATTAACTGGTTTATTCCAGTGTTACACCCTTGGCCCTCCTGAGCTCTCTGAGATCGGGGCCACCTCTTCTCCATTGAGCCTGGTGCGGAGGAGACACCTAGAAGTGTTTGGAAAGGAAGAGGAAAGAACAGACCAACCAGGGGAGCCGGCTGCTCTGAGTCTTCACAGGAAGGCATCTGGGGGGGTATGTGCAGTCTGCACCTTCTGCCGATGGCAAGTGTGATTTCAAAAGGTCCAGGAACTGTCCACATGAAACCAGCAGCCCTCTGCAGTTGGGACCATGCTTTGGGCACAGGGCCGTGGCAACATAATTTGGGGTTTTAGTGAGGCCGAAATATGATGCTTGATTATTGAAACCAAACCTGTTTCCCTGAGCACACGGTGAGTAGGGAGAAGGGCTGGGCCTTCCAGGAGGAGTACGTCTGTGTGGTAAGAGGGTCAGGAAGACAGCTCTGGACACGCAGGTGTGAAGGACTCCTGTGAACACAGTTATGGAGATGCCTTGAGGGGCAGGAGGTGAGTTGGAATGATGAGCTTTGAAGATAGGACCAAAGGATCTGAACAGATATTTCTTCATTGAGACACAAAAGGCCAGAGAGAACTGAAGAGGTGCTCAGTGTCTCCAGCCCTCAGGGAAAAGGCCCTCGAGCCACAGCGAGGCAGCCCTCACTGCCCCAGGGGGACTTGGGCCAGAGGCAGAGCCATCATTGGCGAGGGCGAGGACAGCTGGTGGAGTGAGGGATGGCATAGCTGCCACGGGCAGCCATGTGGCAGTTCTCAGAATCCAGTGTGGAATGGCCACGTGTTCCCAGAATGCCACTTCTGCCTGCCCAGGAGAGCCGGCAGCAGCCTTGGCATCTGCACACCCTATTCACAGCCGCGTCACTCACGCTAGCCAGGAGGCGGAGGCAGCTCGAGTGCCTGCTGGCCGATGAGTGGGTGATACGGGGGGCTCATCCATTCCACAGAATGTTACTCTACCTTCACATGGGAAATCGGCACAGACTGTAAGGTGCGTGACCCTCGAGGACACTTTGCTAAGTGAAGCAAGCCAGCCACAGGAGGGCAAACTCTATGGTTCCACTGCGTGAGGTGGCACATCAGTCAAACCCAGGAGGAGAGTGGCCAGGGGCCAGGGGGGACAGAGTGCATGAGGATTAGGCTGGAGTTGGGAAGGTGAAGATGTGCTGGAGGGCGGTGGCGGTCACTGTTTGTCAGCAGTGTATGCGAACCTAAAATGGTGACTTTTGTTAGGTTTATTTTCCCACAATAAAATGTAAAAGAATTGAAGAGAGAGGACTAAAACTCATTTCTCCCTATTTTGAGCCATGTTGCCGTCGGGCCCCAGGTGGGTCAGGTAGCGAGCAACGAAGGAGTGTCCTCAGTGGTGACTCCTGTTTTTTCATTGATCCTCAATGAAGCCTGGGGAGGTGGGCATTAATGTCGGCTCCCATTTCAGCAGTTGAGAAGCTGAGGCTGAGAGAGGCGAGACGAGGAGCCCCAGATCTCGTAGTGCTGTGTGGCCAGCTTCCCAGGAGTCCCTCCTGCCCCGGGCCCCTGTAGCAGCCTGGTGGAGTCGGTCCTTGGCGTGCCACCCTACCCACCACGCACACACGGGCTACTTCCTTTACTTTAAAGCACCCTGCTGCTGTGGCGTGTCCTCTTGGCAGAGCAGTAGATCACCAGGAGCGTGACTGCGGGCTGAATGCACCTTGCGAGGGTCACAGCGTGACCCCGCAGCCCAGGGAAGAAGGCAGGTGGTGCCAGCCTCCCTCCAGACCCTTGGAAACAGGACTCCAAACTGCCTTGGCAGGCCAGGGGAGAAGATCCTCATGCCGCAGCACATGCTTGGAGGCCCCATCGGGACCTGCTACCCTGGACTGCAGCTCAGGCTGTGTGTGGTGCCTCACTTGTGGCCTCACTCCACTTCTGGAACTTTCCACCATGGTTATTAGTGGCCCAGGAATTACCTTTATTTTGTTTTGTTTTCCCAGTTTTAAAAGATATAAAACTGTTCTTAGCTTCCAGACGTCCAGAAACAGCCCGGGCTGGACTTGGCCCCAGGCTGCAGTCTGCTGGGCCTCTTTGGGTGGTGATGGAAAGCTGCACCCTTTCAGTCAGGAGTTGGCTGGGTTGTAGTTCTTGTTGCTATGGTTACTCTGTGCCTCGCAGGCTGTAGATTTCTCTCGTGTTGCCTTGTGCTGGCTTGGGGAAGGGTGAAGAAAGTCCAGGTGCAGGACACCTGCTCTTCCCATGATGAATCCCCAGCCTGCTTGCCCTTCTCTTTGCACACAGCGCCATGATAGACCCGCCCCACCTCTCTCCTCCCAAGGGGTTTCTAGGCTGCAGGCAGGGACAGGCGGGGTTCCCTGCTCCCTGGCCGGTCCCCAGTCTCAGTGGTGGGCTTTCTCAGGGTCCCTGCCCTTTGCACCACAGCTGACTGTCCCTGCCCACATTGTGGTGGGTTCTGTGACTGCGCAGTGTCCTGCCCTGTCCCAGAGGCTTGCTGTCTCCAGTGGTGTTGCTGTGGCATCCTGGATCTGGCCCTTTTCTTCCTTACCCCAGAGAATGGTGTGTGCTGATCTGGTTTGTGCCCTTGGCCAGTGCTGCCCTTCCTTCAACACCTCAAGATTTTCCTCCATAGGAAGGAAGGACCCCGTGGGGACCTGGCGGGAGTTTCAGTGTCTTGTTTTCCCAGTGGTGGTGACTGACCACCAAGGGAGGCAGCTTCTGCTTTCCTGTCTGCCCACCCACCCTGGTCTGAGCGCCCAGGGAAGACTCATGGAGAACAGCCTGGGAGGAGTGGGAACGGCCTACCTGCCCAGGTTCCTGGGGAGCGGTCCTCACTATCATGTGGGGCCCCACCCCACCTCTGATACTCCATGACCTCCCAGCGGATCCCTTCCCACCCGCGTGGGTAGCACTGGCACCTCTGCGATTTGCTCTGCTGCCAATAGGAAGATGCCACACCGTGTTGCTCCCAAGGGGCATGGCGCTGACTTCATCTCTGTGGGCTCAGGATGTGGGGTGAGGGGGTCTGTTGGCTGCCTCTCGCTCACTGGGAGCCAGGCTGGTACACTGCCTCTGCGGTGGATGGATGCTCGCCTGTCCCCGCCCTGGCTGATCTGTGTCTTTAGGTGAAGCTCACTGCACTGTGCTCTCCTCTCTTAAGTGCTACATCCGGCCACAGAATAAGTTCTGGAATCCCCTCTGTGGCATATCCAGGCTGAAGATTGTGTGGACAGTGGGTGACACAGGAAAGATAGTGCCACGTGCCTGGCCTCAGCTGGGGTGAGAGCCTGCTGGGTGCAGGGGTGCGCTCTAGAATCTTTGTGGGTGAAGCTCCTGTCAAGGAGCCCGGCCAGCTTGGGAGCACTAACTTGTCACTGGTTATGTCTTTTCAGACTCTGGAAGCCATCCTGAATTTCAAGTACTCGGGAGGCCCAGGCCATGCTGAAGGGTATTACCGGAGCCTCTCCCTGGGGCTGCACGTGGAAGTCGAGCCGTCTGTGTTTTTCACCAGAGTCAGCACACTCCCAGCAACCAGGTAACTGTTGTCCCTGTGAGTCTGACAGCACTGCATTTGGAATACCAGCCTCTGGTTCACTGTAGTCTGGCTGCCCTTCTGACGGGCACTGTTGGGCCAGGGTGCTTAATTAGCCTCTCTGGGTCAGGTTCTCTCCATTCTGAAGGTGCTGGGAGGTGGGTGGGCTTGCTGGGCTTCTGTTGGCCCTCCTTTGTATGGACCTAATTGTTTAGGTGCCTTTCTCTGACCTGGGTCACCTCTGCTGTTAACAGGGGCTTGAGAGAGAGCTACATGTCTTGGGGGCCCCTGGATGAGCCCAGAATTTCTGTCTATGCTACTTCTGGTGCCCACTGGGCGTAATGCTTTTTTTTTTTTTTTTTAATGGTCCCACTGTCCAGCATTGTAAGCAGCTCCCAGCATGTACAGGGAGTGTCAGGTCATTCCTGCCCAGGGAGGCCTTCTTGCTCAGTGACTCTCTCTGGGACTGCCTTTTCCTGTCCTGATCTCCCTTCAGGGGAAAGGAGTTGGTTGGTTTGTCTGCTTCAAGGCTACAAGTGGCAAGAGGTGCTAGGGATATTCTTCTCTCGGGTGGGAGAGTGATGAGTTCTCATTCCAAACTTTGACTTGTGGTACAGTGGAAGTAGTGGGCTCAGGAAGCCTGGGAGGAGCCCCTGCAACTGGAGAGCCGTGGAACTCGGGCCTGTGCAGGCTCTAGGGAGCAGGTGCCTGTCACTGCTGAACTCGACCAGGTTCTCTGGCTCAGCTGTGCCATGCTCGTTTCTGGGGAGGGTGGGCTGGGACAGGAGTATTTGTTCTTAATGGCTGAGGAGCAGTGGTGACAGACATTGCCTGTCTGACCTGGAACCAACTGCAGGCCGTTGGTGAAGAGTATCCCCCAGGCAGTGCTCTCATCTGTCTGCCTTGTTCTTCTGTGTAAAATAGAGGTATGTTCTTGTCCATGTTGATGTTGACATTAAAGTCCATTTAAGTTGATAAAGCCCCAAATAATAAGTGTGATTTTGGTGTAGGGGAAAGACTTTTTCTTCTCAGCCATTGGAGAAAACCATCAGCAAAAATTAATGGTGTAGCTGGGCCTTTTGGTGTCACCTTTCATCCCCTGTCATGTGCGCAGTGTGTACAGTGGCTGGCTTTGCTGCCAAGGCTTGCTTCTGCTCTGAATTTGTACAGAGCCTACAGTGCTCGGCCCTGGGAGGCTTGGCCAGGACCCTACCGGGGCTGTTAGGATGTGCCAGTCTCCCTGTGCATCAGAGCTGCTTTCGCATAACCCTGCTGCGCCTTTATGTCCTGGTCCCTCACCTCCTGCTGACGTCACCCATATAAATAATCCTCGAAATGGCACAGGTTATTCCTGGGCTCTTTTTTCCCCTGTTGATACCTGGCTTCCACGTCATGGCCCCTGTGGTTCCAAATGGCAATTTAAGTCGAGGAGAAACTCTGCTACGTGGTGGTCTTTGGACAGATCTGGACAGGTTGGTCCTTGGCTGACATGGGGTTGGATCCTGATCTCTGGCCCACAGCCCTCCCTCCGTTCTTCTGGCCCATGTGTTTCTGTCCCCTGCACTTGGGATTGAGGTTTGACTTCTAATCCTCCTCTGTTATCCCTACATCTAGTTTATCACCAAGTGCCCTCTCCAGCATCTCTGGATGACCCTGTGTGTCCCTCCTGGATGTCCTGCTGTATCTTTGCTGCTGTGGGAAGAGGCCCAGTCCATCCCCTGCCTGCAGACTTTTTTTGTGCAGAGTCCCTTAAGTACGAATGTCCCCCATGGCTGCCCTTGCACAGGTTCCCAGTGCTCGTGAGGCACAGGACCAGAGCCCCCCTGAGATGTGTGCAACGCCCACAACTCGGGCCTCGCCCTGGCCGCCACACGCCCTGCAGAGCGGCTTTGCTCCTCACCACCCCTGCTCAGCGCTTGACTTCCGGGAGCTTGTGCCACATTCTTTTTCTAAAATCTCTCTTTTTCTTAAATTGTCATTCTTTGATTTAACCTTTTGGGAAATATCTGCTTGTCCTAGAGATGTATGTTATCATTCCTGTAGGGTTTTCCTGAGCATAATCAAGCAGAGGGGGCTGTTCTCTCCGTGGGTTCTGTGTACCTTCCTGGTACTTCTGGGAAAGCATTTGCCAAATGTCCTGGGAATACATTCACTTACGCTTTAAGCCACCACCTCTGAAGTGACAGGCACTGTATGAGCCACTTGCTGGGGTAGGAGGTGGGGGGAGCGCAGTGCACATCAGGCAGAATTAGCACTAAAAGGAAATGTGAATGTACACAAAGGAGGGAAGAGCTCAAGAAACAGTGAATAAGCGAATACAAAACAAAAGGGTTTGTTCCTCTCATTCTTAATTTCTTTAAAAGAATGGGTGGGTGCTAGAAGTGCTAATGTTACACGCAAGGTGCCAGGCTGCTGTATGAGGTCAGAGTGCAGAGGTACCGGGCATGTGGCACTCTCCAGAGCAGCCATCTAGATGTGGGCAAGAGGGTACAAGAGATAAAATGGAATATTAGCAATATCTAATTCAACCAAAGAGGAAGAGGTATCAAGAGTGGAACAAGGAACATTTAGTCAAGTAGGAAGCCAATAGCAATGTGATAGGCCTGCACCTGCATCTCAAGAACTGCAGGAAGTGTATTCGGAATTAGAGAAAGTAAAATGCCTTTTTACAAGAAAACGACGTTAAATGTGTGTAGTGTAAAAGTTAAAAGGTAGGGGAAAACATCATGCATCTGGTTTGGCCTGGTGGTGAATGCCTATGTTCCCAGCAACGTAGGAGGCTGAGGCAGAAGGATTGCAAGTTCAAGGCGAACCTCAGCAACTTAACAATAACCTGTCTGAAAAGAAAAAATAAAAAAGAATGGGAATGTAGCTCAGTGGTAAAGCAACTACGGCCTAAATCCCCAGTACCAAAAAACAAAAATAAAAAACTCCAAACTAAACAATAATATTAGAAAGTTGGTGTGAGTATATTAACATTATACAGATACTCTTTCAGCATAAAAAGAGGCAGATAAGACAATCTGTAATGAAAGTAGCCCAAAATGCAAGTGTATTTAAAAACAGAATTTCAAAAATAAAACAGGCATACTGAGGGGATAAATGCATAGCTGCACATCATAGTTGGATATTTTGGGACTTTTTTCCCCTCTTAATATTTGATAGAACAAGTAGACAAATACAAAGAAACAATTAAAAGAACAAAACCCCAGAAAACTCTAGCAAACTTAGATAATCCTGTTAACCAATTCCACCTAATAGTCATAGAATAGTAAACTATTTTATTAGAAAAGGTGAATGGCTTAAAATCAGTGATATAGCTTCTGTATTAAAGAAGAGCTCAATGTACTCAGAGCAAACAGCAGAAATAAAGTGTAGGTATCAATGAAATTATGAAAAAAGAATGTATAAAGTCAGTATTATGGTTTAGATATGAAGTGTCTCCGAGACAGTGCAAGAGAGCTTAGAGGTGAAATGACGGGGCTATGAGATTTCTGACCTAATCAGTGCGTTAACCCTTTGATAAGGATCATCTGGGGGTTAAGGATAGACAGGTGGATGTGACTAGAGGAGATGGGTCATTGGGAGCGTGCCAGTGAGGTTTATATTTTGTCTGTGGGGAGGGAAGCTCTCTCTTTGCTTCCTGGTGCCATGTTTCCAGTTTCTTTCTGGAAATGTCACACACTTCTGTCATGATGCTCTGCCTCACTGTGATCCCCAAGGAATGGAGCAGGCCGTCTATGGACTAAAAACTCTTAAAAACCATGATCCTCGAATAAAATGTTCTGCCTCAAAAGTGTTCTCTTCAGGTCTTTTGGTTATAGTAGCAAAAAAGCTGACTAAAACAGAAATTAGTTCAGGGAGTGGGGTCATTGCTGTGTCTACTGTGTCTAACCTGATCATGCTGTTATGAAATTTTTGGAACTTTTTAGAATTTGTGGGAGGAATTTTGACACATTTAGAGATGCGAACTGGAAAAGCTTTATATTGTTGTAAGCAGAGCTTAATGGGTGATTTTGGTAGAATGTCAAAAGACCAGAAGATCAGTTAGGACTGTGAACTATAAAGTCCAGGCTGCATTTCAAGTTCCATGGCTCAGGATTCAAGCACTGGAAAACTGGTTCTCAATGAGGTTGGTGAAAGTGAGCATTCACTGAAATTCAACAGTGACAGTCAGAGTCTCTTAGAGACTAGGAAATCCAGGTGCATTGAATAGAGAACAAGAAGCAGCACATTGGGGCCCAGCTGGTTGTGGCAGCAGCAATAGTGCAGAGGGGAGGGATGACACAACAGAGAGAAAAACCACAAAGAGAAAATTTGGCATAGAAAAACCTGTAAAAGCAGTTTAACTCAGCTGATCTAACTGTACAGCCAATGGCTGTGTGAAAGTGCTCTGTGTTTCTCAACTGACAAGCAGGCAGCTGAGGCAAGATGCATCTTAAGGAAGCCACAGTTGCCTGCTGCTGCCAGAGGCCAGGAGGTCATAGCAAACATTTCCATACTGTTGTGGCAAGCACCTACCATGTGGCTTAGGATGTGCCTAGCAGAAGGTGAGTGAGACAGACCAGAGGAGACTGTACCCAGGGTGATTCAGGTCAGAGAAATGGAGTGGAGTGAAACTTGCTTTCCCGTGAGTCTGGTGGCTCACGTGACCAGCAGAAGAGGGTCGGGAAACTGAACAGGCAAGGGCAAATACACTCATGGACTAAGCCTGGGAAGGCTGGGTTGTGGGCAGTAGAGTGTGCGGAGGGTTATTTTTCCTGCTCCACAAGTAGAATTCTTGGGAGGCTCCTGATACCTGGACTCCTAGCAGAGATCGGCATCTGCTTGGCTCCAGGGTTGTGTAGATCTAATTTCTGCAGAACACATATCACCCAACAAAGTCCCTAATGCCTGATTAGACTTAAGTCCAGGGTCAGAAATCCTCTTACAGAACTCTTAGCCTCACCTTGGGCGTGTTTCCATCCAGTCTACTGGGACAAACCTGCAATTGATCATACTTC